TTTATTATAAACTTATTAAGCTTTACTATTAGATAGGTTAAATTAACGCGAGTATTAATTATTAAATAGCTTTCTTATTTAAGCTAAAGAATAGTAGATTATTCACGTAAATATTAATAATAATATTATTTTTAATAAATATAACCTTATAATATTTAAACTATTTAAACCTATAAGAGATTAATTTAATAGAGAGTATCTTAAATTACACTTTAAGGGCTTATTTTAAGCTATATAGCGCCTTCTTTAACTACTAGACCTTACTAAATCTCTTAAAGCTATTTAGAAGTTTAACGTAAATTATTTAGTTTACGTAACTATATAAAAAGGTTATCTTTACGTTTATTTATTTAATCTCTTAGTTTAAGAGTATAATTAAAGCGAATAATAGGCGGTAGGTCTTTTATTAAACTATTAAGGTATATTTAATAAGCTTACTTTATAAGGTTTTAATTTAATTAATATAATAAGATTCACTTAAATATAATTCCCTTATACTTAAAGAAGTTTAAAAGGATTATATTCTTAAATTTACTATTATTATTTAACTTATACTATTAAACTACTTTATACGTTTATACTTTTATTATTATTATATTCGCTTAAATATATATAATAGCTTATAACTTCTCTTATAATAGGTAAACTTATAGCTTTTTAATAAGGTTATTAATTATTAATAGGTAATAGGCTTTTCGGTAATAAGCTTCTCTTATTAGAGTTAATAGGCTAATAGATTCCTTAAGGTTAATTATTTATCTCTAACCTTAATTAAGTGCTTTATAAGTTACGCTTTAAGCGTTCTTAGCCTTACCTTTTCTTATAATATAGGCTTTATAAGACTTTACACTCTTATTTATTACTTAAATACCTAAACTTATTACTAACTTAATATAGTTTATATAATTAAGGTAGCCTATTCTAAGATATAGCACTTATAAAGGGATAAACTATAAGGTATTATTTATAAAGAAAGCTATTAGGTTATTAATAACTTTAAGGGTATTCTAGTGCTTTATAGTTTACTTATTTATAGTAAAGTAAGTACTTTATTAATAAATTTATTATAAATCTATTAAGCTTTATTATGAAGTAAGTTAAATTAATATAAGTATTAATTATTATAAATATTAACGTTTTAAGAATATATTAAAATAATTACGTTATAGCGAGGCGAGAATAACCTAAAATAGAAGCGAGGGGGTTAATTAAGAGAATCTCTTTTATATAGAGTAATATAGGTAAGTTTATACTTTATTAAAGAAGTTTAAATTAAACCTTTAGGTTAATTTACGTTTACTTATTAAAGGTAACCTTTTTAGCTTATTTAATTAATCTAGTAATTAAATTCTAAAATTAGTAAATATTATTAGCTTTATATCTTATAAGAAAGTATAAATATATTTAATTATTAAGCTTCTTTAAGAACTTAACCTTTAATACTAGCTTATACGCTTTATAGCCTAGTTATTAAAGGTGTAATATATACGATTTAATACTAGTTTAAGCTTTATAAGGTGTTATATTACTTATTATACTATATAGTAATCTTTTTTAGGTATAAATAACCGCTTATAATATCTTCTCTTAAAGCTTTTTACCTTAAAGCTTTTTAGGTAGTTTATTATTATAAAATATAGCTTATTATTAACTTAATGTAGTTTACGTAGTTAAGGTAGCTTATTTTAAGGTATAATACTTATAAAGGAATAAACTATAAGGTATTATTTATAAAAAAGGCTATTAGGTTATTAATAACTTTAAGGGTATCTTAATACTCTATAATTTACGTGTGCGTATTTAAGGTATAACGTATAAATAATTAAACTATTTATACGTTATACCTTAAATAATAAGATATTTCTTATTATATATTACGCGCTCTTTATAGTAGTTTTATATATACTTAAAGCGTAGCTTTTTAATAAATACTTTTAAAGCTAATAGATTTACTAGTAATATTAAAATATATAGTACTTATTAAAGCTTAATAAGCTTAGTATTATTAACCCTTTAAATTACTAGGGGAATTATACTACTATTAAGTACTTAAGTACCTTAAATATTATTACCTACTCTATTTATAGGGATTAGTTTATTAAATACCTTATAATTATTAAATATATATTAGTTATAATAAACGTAATACTTTATAGCGTTATTAAATATTTAATTAAAGCTTCTTATATTTACTTTATAATCTTTAATTATTATATTAATAACCTTATTCTCGTTAATTATTACTATAAAGAAGTTACTTAGGTCTTATAATTACGCTAGAAATACTTTTATATCTTAGGGTATATTAGCGTTTACGTTATATACTTTTAAGCGTTTATTCGTGGTATTCTTACTAGTATATTATTTATTTTAAACTATACACTTATTATTATTATAATTACTTAAGGTATTTAATTATTTATATATACTATAAACCTTTTAAAAGAGCTCTTAATAATTATTAAGCTTTAAGGCTTTTATTTACTTTTATAAAGGCTAATTTAACTCTATTATATCCCTTTTATACTTACTATTAGCATTATTATTAGTATAATAGGTAAAGGGATTAATAAGGCCTTTATTACTTTAATTAATAAGCTTCTTTTCTATCTTTAAGCGTTAATACTTATCTTAGGTAAGGTTTATTAGTAAGTTTAAGGTAATATTTACACTATTATTAATACTAGTTACCTAATAATATTTACACAATTATTAATAGAAAATATTAAAGGTATCTTTTAAGTTAATAAAAAACTATAGCTAATAAAGCTTCTTAGGTATTATTTAATTTAACTATATATATTTAAGTTTATATAGCCTTTTCTTAAATACTTAAGCGAATTTTTATACGTTATTATATTTTTATAGGGTATTAATAATAAGTTTAATAATAACTTTATTAAGAATATTAACTTTACATTATTCATTAAGTTTTTATAACGTTAAGTAAGCCTTATATACGTTTATTTTAGCTTTAATCTTTTCTATTATATAAGTAAAGTATAACCTATAAATACTTATAAGTAAGTTATAATTACGTTATTCTTAAAATATAAGTTATTATACGTGCTTATTTTAAATTTTATTTAAATAAAGCTCTATTAAAGAAGTAAGTTATAAGAGTTCTTAAAGAATAAGCGTAATAAATTTAATTATAATAACGTGTAACGCGCATACAAAGTCACCTATAAAGAGAGACCGAATCGGGCACCACGTATAGGT